AAAAAAAAAAGTTACCAAACAGCTTTAATCTTTCTCAACTAAACACATTATAGAGAAGAGATCAGTGTCAGGTAAATAATAAAAACACTAAATAGTGCGTAGAATATTCAAACCATAGTTCCAAGAAAATACAAAAAAATATATTCACACCATAATTCAATATTGAATAATATTTTCTAAGCTCCCAATAAGTAACCATTCTATACTCTACTCAATAGAAGTCTATTTAATCACAGCAGGAACATAGTTCGACATTCAATTTTTTTTTAAAATTGGAGATTCAAATTTTCCTACCTCATATTTGTTGTGCTATAAAAATCAAGAGTAGCGGAGCACCTAATTTATATTTGAATTATTTAATTATTCCAACTCAGTGGAGACAAGCATTTAAGTCTATATCTAAATTAAAGGATGATAAATGGATTCCCTTAACTATAATGTGACAAGCAATTCATCTTGTGTTAACTAGTGAACCCTCTTTATAAATAAGTGTCAAATCTTGTATGTCTAGCAAAGCATCATCTTCCATAACTTAGAAGTTGATAACTTATACTCCAAAGCAGCATCATCAATGGCTCCCAAAGGGAAGTTGGAGGCCAATGTAGAAATTAAGTCTCCACCTTCAAAGTTCCATGAAATGTTCCACAAGAGACCACACCATATTTCCAATGCTTCTGGTGACAAAGTACAAGGTTGTGAATTACATGAGGGTAATTGGGGCGAAGTTGGTTCTGTCGTCTGCGCCAAATACTTTCATGGTTTGTTTTCATCATTTTTCTTTCTATATTTCTTTACTCTTTTCAACGTTGGATCTTTATTATTGTTAGAACTGGTTGAGAATTTAAATGAAATTGATTGTTGTGGTATGGATAAACCACTGCCTCGAAAACAATTTGAGTACGATCACGGTGCTAAATAATGCACTCGCCGGAGTCGAATGGAATCGAAGAACATTTGACAGAGATTTTGGATTTTTACCCCGAAGAAGAAAACTTGACTTTATTTTAAAATGGAAAAATAAAAACGTTTTAATTGAAACGTTACAAAAAAAAAATGAATTTGTTAATTAAAATGTTAAACAATTAATAAGTAACATTCAAATAATTAATCAAAACAGAAATAAACGTTTTTCATTAAAACATTTAAAAATAAGCAATAATAAAATATCACTTATTTTTGCAGTGTAAATATGTAAATACGTATTTTTCTTTTATCATCCCAATGGTTCTTTTGAGCTCCAATATTTGTTGGATCCCATTTTTTTTTATCGAATATACTCATTTGAACTTTTGGCCTCTAATACATAGTATGATATAGTCTATTTTGAACATAACCCTCGCAACTTTACTTTTGGTTTCATCCAAAAAGAACTTCATACCAATTAATGGAGATGTTGTCCCTCGCATATATATCCATGATCCTTTCTCGAGCCAATGTGGAACTTTATTTGCACTCTCTACAAATCCAACATCGTGTATATTATAAATTTTTGTTACGTCTTTTTACTAGAATCCCAAACAAGCATGCCATATTAATTTATGTAGTGTTGAACCACAGATGGGAAGCCTCAAATGGCAAAGCATTTAATTGAAGCAGTGGATGAGAAGAAGAATTTGATCTCTTCAAAAGTTATAGAAGGAGACCTTTTGAAGGATTATAAAACCTTCAACTTTACGCTCCAAGCTACTCCAAAGGGCAAGGGAAGTGAAGTTCACTGGGTTTTGGAATTCGAGAAACTGCATGAAGAAATTCCAGATTCATGCAGCTTGCTTGAGTTTTGTGTGAGCATGTCCAAGGACATTGATGCTCACCTTATGAATGGCAATWAGGAAGAAGCAAATTATTTAGTTTTACTATATGTTATATGTGTACCAACTCTATGTTTAAATAAATGCTCGTATGCAATATGTGTTCTCTTTGGGCTTGTTCTAAGTTCTCGTATGCAATATGTGTTCTCTTTGGGCTTGTTCTAAGTTATCATGCCTTGGAGAAYAGTCATAAAGTATCCTAAATGTAATGCTACTATTAAATTAAACTATGGGAATAAAATCACTAAATTAAATGTGTTTTAGAATTGATATTGGAAAGCTTTTCATTAGTATATTTTTCTATCATTTGTAATCTTTTTTAAATAATAAACGTCGAGAATTATTGGAATCAGGGCGGATCCACGTAGGGGCAGACGAGCGTGAATTTTGTTTCCTTCGAGCACGACGTTTGTAGTTCGTGTTAACCTTTAGGAGATAGAGAGAAAATAAAGAAAATGACAAATAGGGTTTTGTCACAACATCATCACGCAAGCCAACATCGTCCGTCTCTTTCGATAGAAGGGTTTGAAATCGCCACCAACCATTATGAGTGAGGTGTGATTGAGTCAGCTAAAAGAAAAAAAAAGTCTGCGAACAACAGATTTTGGTTCAGGGGTCGATTGAGAGGTATTAGAGTAGCCTACAACACTAGTTCAAAAAATGGTATGGAGAAGCACGAAAATCTCATAAAACGCTCTAAATTAATAATTCAGAAGTAATTTTATTAAAAAAAAAAACAATTTTTTTCGTTTTTTTTTTCCAAAGTCATCAACGCATTAAAATATGTTCCAAATAAATTATGTAACAATGTTGACCATAATGAATTCTCATATTAACAAGGCAGTTGGTTGGTTTATTTAAAAGAACATAAATATAAAGTACATTATTATATCTAAAACTCATTATTATAACCATATTCATCCATAAGTCACAGCATAAGCGAATAGGTTATAAGTATAAAACAATTATGAATAATTTATACCTAATCTCAAACTTATTCAAGCCAGATTTATTTGTTGAGACGAAATTGAAAATTAGTATTACAAAATCTTCCTCCCAGAAAATTTTATCTATGCAACCACTTTGTAACTGGTTACAAAGTGCGTAAACAAAATCTCAYATTGGTTAGAAAAGAGAGAGATCAATAATACATAAATGAGGACAATTACCTTGTATCAAATTTTTGAATGAAATCAAAAGCAAAATCATGAGAGTTATCTTAAAGRGCACGTTAAAAATCCTACATGAAAAAGATAAAGGAACTCGATAAATATTAATAACAATGACGTAGGTAAGATGAATGACAAAGTTGTTCGTTGGCTATACCATATCTTAGCTTATACACATCAACTCTAGATTTCTATTATTATTTCATCCATTTCATTAATTTTTTTTCTAACTCTATAACGTCTCAAAATTTATTTAATTATTATGTTTTACCATACATTTATTATAGAATTCCAAATAAAAAATTTGAGAT